AAAAAACAGAAAACAACGGCAAAGATAAAAAGAAATTGAAATTGAAATTAATAAATGACGTACATAGATGACGTTCACACAAATGAAATGAAATGAACGAAATTAATTTCATTTCATTTCATTTTTGTTTCAATTTATTCAATTTGAAAAATGAAAACATTGTTTAAATTTTGTCAGATTAAAGTATTCTTTGTTCAAATTTTATTTTATATAGTTAATTTTCCAACAACAACAACAACAACAATAAAAGAAACTCCGAACGAACAAAATGATGAATGAGATGCAATTTGGAACAGATTTCTTTTACTTTTTTTTCTTCTGATTACTTAAAGGCTTATAAATAAAAAAAATTCTTAGGATGAAAATCTTTAATCTTCAATTTTTTTTCTCTCTTTTTGTCGTTTTATAATCATTTCTTTTTATTGAACTTAAGATTTTTATTTGATTGATTAATTCTTATTACAGAAATTGGAACAAAATTCTTTTCATAAGGATTATCATTATTATTATTATTATTATAATCATACGGATGACTAACAAATACTGATTTGGTCAAACTAACTAAGCGAATATTATCCTAGTTTCCATTTCAATGTTATCATCAAAAACATTATTGTTGCCTTGGAACCAAGCAACAACAACAACAACAACAACAAAATGTCAATAACGATTGTCAATTTGACATTTTTACTTCAAAAATACACATTGTGTGTATGTATGTATGTAATATGAGAATTGAAATTGAATTTTTTTTCATTTTGAAATGTCCATCAAGAATGAAAACAAAACAAAAAAAAACAACAACAAACGTTCACTTACAGTTTTATATTTGTATTTTATTTAGAATATTTTTAGAATCAGAAGAATATTCTATATGTGTGTTTGTTGTTTTTTATTTGGCTATCAAGTTGTCATTCTAATCAACTTTACGTGTGTTTTGTTGTTGTTGTTGTTGTTGTTGTTGTTGTATGTCAACATAGATCCAGGATCATTTAAAAGCAATAACAACATTTAAAAAAAGAATTTGTTGTTGTTGTTGTTGTTGTTATGAAAATAATATTCAATAAAAATGCATTGATGCAGAATATTTCTCTTTTTCTCACTCTCTCACCCTTGTTTTTGTTGATCCATTGTCAAACTATGATGATGATGATGACAAAATATCAATATGTGTGTGTGTGAGAATCGATTATTTTCATTCATTTTGTCGCTGTTGTTGTTGTTGTTGTTTTGTTTCAGTCATTCAATCATCAAATTTTAGTTTAGTTTAGTTTAGTTTATTTTTTTTTCATTCATATTATATATGCATTATATAATAATATTTTACACTTGATATCACACATATGATTTTTTTTTTCTATATGTTCACTTTTCATCATCATCATCATCATAGCCTTGTGTAAACATTCATAGAGAAAGAATTCGTAAATAAATCCTGTTGACCATGTACACATTCTGTTACATTGAATAAAAAAATGGCCAGCGGTGTGTGTTTGTGTGTCTGTATTTGCCGATGATTGACTGCTCGACTCAATGAAAATAATTTGGATTTCTTCTTCTTTTTTTTTTTTTTTTTTTTTTTAAAAACCAAATTTTTTTTTTTTTTTTTTTTTTCCCCTCCCCCAATTTTTTTTTTTTTTTTAAATTT